GTTTTGTTCTTCAGTCTAGTTGTGGAGGACGTTGCTTCACTGGCCCAAGTTGGCACCATCATCGCGCTCTTCCCGGGTGAGGCAGATCAGTTGCCGGCTTCTGGACGGCCGCTCACGCTGGCTGCTGGCTACACACGGTAGCCCATGGCAACCTACTGCAGCAGGGGCTGCAGCCTATGCTGTTGCCATCACCAGGGACTCACGGCAGCCCAGCTCCAGGTTGAGCTGTTATTCAGCATCTTAGCTGTGGAGGGCAGTGTCACTGGCCCTCATATGTGGGATCAGAACCGGGGCCCTCTGGAGTCCCAAACCAGCTCTTAACCAATGCGCCCCTCGGCCGGCCCTAAAACTTTTTAAAGTGCTTTTTTAATTAAAAGAACATATGTGGCAAGTTTTTTTTAAATTCTATAAACAAAAATGGATTATTCAGCCTTAAAAAGTAAGAAAATTCTGACACATGCTATGACACAGATAAATCGTGAGGCCATTATGCCAAATAAAATAAGCCAGTCAAATACTGTATGATTCCACTTTTATGTGCTCAAATTCACAGAAACAGAAAGAATAGTGATTTCCAGAGCCTGGGAGCAGGAGGAAATGGGGAGTTACTGTTTAATGGGTATAGAGTTTAATGCTGCAAGGTGAAAAACTTCTGGAGATTCACTGCACAGCAACATGAATATACTTAACAATACACTGAACTATACAATTAAACTGACAAAGAGGAAAACATACAGAGCAGCCCCAGATCCCAGGGTTGGAAGAGACTTTGAAGATCACATAATCTGCCTCTAACCCTACTCCAAATTTGCCACTCCTTACAAAATACCACCAAGCAGCAACTTAGCACACTCCTCAACATAAGCAGTAGGGAATTCACTGCCTTCTAATCTAGAGAGCTGTTCCTTGCGTTGATTCAAGCATCTACTTCTGAACATTTGCCAACCATCTGTCCTAGTTTTAATTTCCGGGACCCCCTCTTCCACATGCAAATCCTTCAAATACTTGAAGATAACAATCCTAAGAAACATCAAGCATGGATTTAAGAGCTCAAGTCTTTATTATAAGACAAACATAGAGTCAAATTTTGGCACTATCTTTTATTAACTGTGTAACCTCAATTAAATTTCTAAACTTTAGTAAGCCTCAATTCCCCTATTTATAAAACGAGATGAGTAGGGTTCCTACCTCACAGGATTGTTATGAGTTTAAGTGAGATAACATATGCATGGTTCTTAGCGCCTGGCGAATGGTGGCACTCAGGAATTCCTAGCTTCTATTATTATTGTTGGCATTATATCTCCCAGCTGCCCTCACCCAGTCTCATCCCCAGGTTAAATATCTCCACCTCTTTCAACCCATTACTTGAAGAAGCATTGTTTCAGGTGTTCTGATATCCCAGTCACTCTCCCCTGGACACAGTGTGATGTCAGTGCTTTCTAAAGTATGGTTCCCAGGCGCCAGAGTTGGGTGAGGCAGAGGAAGGAAGGCTGGCCCCAGTCAGGAGGGAGGGAAAGAGGCCAGCGGAGGAGTTTTCCAGCTCAACCCTGGCAGCCAACTGTGCAGCCCCCTTGGTCTGGTGCGTCTCCTCCTGCCCCACGGGAAGAGAGCTGCACCTGGGGCTGAGAGGCGCGCCCACGCGCCATGGGGAGTCCTACTGTGGCTGGTGCTGCTACTGCCCCTCCCCCCCATGCTGCCGCTGCGGGTCCCGCGGTACTCACACTGTAGATATAAAGACACCCCGTGGTGCTCCCCAATCAAGGTGAAGTACGGAGATGTGTACTGCAGGGCCCCTCAAGGAGGATACTACAAAACAGCCCTGGGAACCAGTTGCAACATTTGCTGCCTGAAGGGCTACGAACTGCATGGCTCTTCCCAGCTGATCTGCCAGTCAAACCAACGGTGGTCTGACAAGGTCATGTGCAAGCAAAAGCGATGTCCTACCCTTGCTGTGCCCGCAAATGGAAGGTTCAAGTGCGTAGACGGTGCCTACTTTAACTCCGGGTGAGTACTATTGCTCACCAGGGTAAACACTGAAAGGGGAGCAAACTGTCACATGTATGGACAACAAGGCCTGGAGTGGACAACCAGCCTCCTGCGTTGATATTGGAGCCTCCTAGAATCAAGTGCCCAAGTGTGGCAATAAGCTGACAGTGCGGGTGTCCTGGGATACCCCCGAGGGAAGAGACACAGCAGATGGCATTCTAACTGATGTCATTCTAAAAGGCCTCCCCGCAGGCTCGAATTTTCCAGAAGAAGACCACAAGATCCAGTACACAGTCTATGACTGAACCAAGAACAAGGGCACTTGCAAATTTTTCAAGTTAAAGTAAGAGTCAAACGCTGAGGAAAACTCAATGCTCCGGAGAATGGTTACACAAAGTGCTCCAGCAACAGCGATAATTACGGAGCCACCTGTGAGTTCTCCTGCACAGGTGGCTACAAGCTACACGGTAGCCCCGCACGAGTATGTCAATCCAGCCTGACTTGGTCTGGCACGGAGCCCACCTGTGCAGCCATGAATGTCAATGTGGGCGTCAGAACAGCAGCTGCACTTCTGGATCAGTTTTATCAGAAACGGAGACTCCTCAGTGTGTCCACGCCCAAAGCCCGAAACCTCCTCTACAGGCTGCATCTGGGAATGCCACAGCAAGCGCAATATAGCCTGGATCTTCGGCACATCACCGTGGTGGAGCTGGTAGGTGTGTTCTCGACCCTCATCGGCAGGATAGGAGCAAAAATTATGCCTCCAGCCCTAGCTCTGCAACTCAGGTTGTTGCTGCGAATCCCACTGTATTCCTTCAGCATGGTGCTAGTAGATAAGCCTGGCATGGACAAGGAACGCTATGTCTCCCTGGTGACACCTGTGGCCCTCTTCAACCTGATTGACACTTTCCCCTTGAG